CCTAACCTGGAGCACTGAGTATGTTCATAGGCTGAGGGGAACAGTCTCAGGGAAAGATTTAGTGCACAGGGTTAAGAACACGCTAAAGGATGTGGCTTTGACATCACAGGTGAGTGGGTAAACCTGGGTGCTCATGTAGGTGGAAAGGGTAGGTAATCTCTTGTTGAAGTAGCAAGATAAATAACTAAATGTTTAAAAAAATTACAGTACTTTTGACCTGCCGAGGTGCAGCAGTAACGCAATGTTTTGTGATGCTGGGCCCACATGGGAAAATCCGGGGTTTGCATCCCTGGGTCTCCTTGTGCCTTCTGGGTGTGCAGGTACATGCTTGTGATCCAGGCTGGCCGGGTTTTATTTTGTGTGTGTGTGTGTGTGGGTACTATCGGGGTGTAAAGACCCTGTTGGGAGTGTCCCCAGGCCTCCATCTCTCTCTCTGTCATGGAAGAAATATATCTTAAAAATGCAGGGAAAAATGACAATAATTCAAACACTTGGGGATTGGCTCCTAAATAAAGCAGAGTTCAGAGACAGACCATAGAGAAGTGACATTTTGAATCAGTGGAGGAGGGGGAGGGAGAAGACACTGGAATCCTATGTCTAATCTATACTTAAATTCCATATTAACTGAAAATGAAAATGACACTACAAAATATTAAAAAAATATGAGAAACAATTTTGGAGTGGGAAATATAGTTCCAAGCAAAATATCAAATCCAAACCCATAAAGAATTAGATATATCTAAATACACACAAATGAAACATTTCTGTATGGAAAAATATCATATGCAAAGCTTAAAATAGTGATAAATTGGGAAATAATTTCTGAAAGTATGTCAGCAAAGGGCTAACTTTAAAGTGTTCCTAAAAGTCAACGGCACTCTAGAAAATTGTGTAAACGAGTCTTACCCTCTTTCATAATTGAAATAATAATGAGAAGAAATTTCACATCAGGTTGGCAGAGATCAGCTTTGAGAAGGGTGTGATAAAATAGGTATCTTTTTTTCCTAAGAATTATTTAATGAATTGTTATTTTAAAATTTGCTATAGGGCCCGTGTGCTCACTAGAGAGACAGAGAAAACGAGAAGCAAGCTGCCAAGTCCTGGACTCAAATCACACTTAGCCACTTGGGAGTCCAGTGCCTGAACCACCATGCCACCTGCTGGCCCTGAAACAGTGGTCTTATTGGCTGTTGAGTGTTAATTGATGAAAACTTTCACAAGGTGATTCAGTATAATCTATTTTTTTTTTTTAAATTTACTAGACACTGTTTGGACTAGCTGAGGTTGGGAAGGAAGAGGGAAATCAAGAAAGCACCCCCATCCCCAAGCGATGGTCGCTCTGCAATCCCTTTTATTTTGTGCCAGCATACATGCACCTGGTGTGTTTCTCAAGCTGCTGGGTCTGCACAGTTGGCCACTGTGAGATACAGCTACCTTAACCAACATGCCATGGGCTAGCTCACAGCTACCAAATCTTAAAACTGTATATCCCTTGACCCAGAAGTTCCAGACACAAAAACTCTTTGGAGAAAAAACAAAAACAAAAACAAAAGTGTATAGAAAGGTTGTGTCAAAAGATAGGCATGTCCATTGGTAAGGGCCTATAAAGAGGATACTTTCATGCAATGGTATCCATGCAACTATGGAAACAATGTTAAATACACATTCCTGATAAATGTGTTTAATGGCTATGATGTGCCAGGAGCTGTTCTGGGTACCTGGGATATAGTTGTAAACAAAACACAAAAAGCCCTACCCCTCCTAAAACAGGTTCCAGTAGAGACAGATGCAGAAAGGGCAAACAGCATGCTCAGTGTTCTGGTGGTTAACGTGGCTGGATCCCACATGGTCAGTTGCCCGGTTTGAGTCCCAGTACTAGAAGCTTGAAAACCGCCAGTTTGTGTGTGTTTGAACCCAAAATAATGAAAGGGATGTGGGCCTCCCCACCGAGGAGGGTGCTTTGTCATTTTCCCTCTCTCCAGAGCAGGGCCCACTCTAGCAAATTGAAAGAAATAAAAAGAGGGAGTAAAGACACACACACACACACACACACACACACACACACACACAAATATACACCGTTTTTATGCACAGTCTCTGGCAGGTAAAAAAAGGGGCTATCTGCCAGGTAGAGGACCGGAGGCCTGGAGAGGAAAATTGAGCTGTCTGTGAAAAAGGTTTTCCTCACCACATGTGGAAAATCGGAATTAAAGTATGAGCTCATGTTTGTGCAAAAAAAGTGAAATCCATAATTTTGTCATAATAATTTCTCACAAACTTTTTGAAGATGTCTCAGGTGTATGGTAATTAATGAAGGGGGAAAGGAAAAAGAAATATATATTTAACGGTTTTTGCTCTAAGGCACACCAGAGATAAACATACAGGAAATGAGAGAGAAATCAGCCCCCAAGGGGAGGGCCATGCAATTGCTTCTTTTCTATTCTCCTCCTGGGATTTTGAACATACACAGGAACCTTGCTTGATTTTCAAGCCACTGGGTCCGGGACTTGAACTGCAGTCACCCATATGGGAGTACAGCGCCACCTGCTGGTCTCACTTCATTATTATTAATATTTTGAGAGTTTTTTTTTTTTTCCCCCCTTGCTATAGGGCCGCACTCCCCGAAGAAACAGAAAGCAAGAAATCACTCCCTGGGGAGGCTGGCCACATAGCAGTCCCTTCTCCATGTTCCTCTAGGGATAACAGGCGGACACACGCAGAGGCACCTGGGCTGGGGCTGGAACCTCCACCAGCCACATGGGAGTCCAGCGCCTTAACCACTGCAACCTGCTGACCCCACCACTTTATATTTTTAAAAAATTGCTGCTGAAGCCCTTGGAGCCTCCCGGGCTGAGCTGTCCTTTCCAGCACTGGGCACCCCTTCGCAGCAGGTTCCGGTTACACCCAGTACGTGTGCTGGGCCGGACGGGGCGGGCCTAAGGCAGGCGGTGGGGAAATGAGCTCCGGGTGTGGGAGCTCTCCGGGGCAAAGCACAAACACGAGACACCATCTCAGACACGCGTAAACGCTAGCCAGCACATGCGGCAGAAACGAAAAACCCGGCGGGCGACTCGGAGCGCGGAACCGGCGTCTCTCCCCGGGTCTGCGCCTGCGTCCGTAGCGGCGTTTTCCCCTGCGCGGCCGCCGGGAGGCGCCGTCACGTGGCAACCTGGTCCCAGGGCCTCGTAAGAGCCAAGGTCACTCGCCTTTTCCGGGTCGGGGGCGGGATAGAGAACACTTCCGGTGACGGGGTTACGTCACTTCCGCCCACGCCCGGCAGTGGTCCGTGGCTCCCCACGCGGGTCCGACATGCGTATCGAGAAGTGTTACTTCTGCTCGGGGCCCATCTACCCCGGCCATGGCATGATGTTCGTCCGCAACGACTGCAAGGTGAGGCGCCCAGCCGGCTCCCGCGGGCCCCGGACGCCCCTCCGGCGCCCCGGCTTCCGCGGCCTGGGGATGGCCCGGGTTCCCGCACTGCGAGAGGGTGGGCCTGGCGGGGCCCGGCGGTCTCGCCCTCCCGAGCGGAGCTGGCCACGGGGCTCCTTCGGGGAGGTCGGCTGTGCTGAGACCCGGGCACCATCCCGGCCGCCCGGCCAACCGGCGGG